AGGACAAGTTACAAAAACACATTTTAGAATCAACTCTTAGATTAATTTGGATTGAAAACAACAATTTCAGAGATCCCTCTATGGACTCAAGCAGACTCCCCGGACCTGGTACCAACGTTTCGCTCAGCACGTTCTTTACATGGGCTTTCAAAATAGCCTGACAGATTCCTCCTTATTTATATATCATCATGCCACTGATATCGCCTACATTCTTCTGTATGTTGATGATATTGTACTCACCGCCTCATCTACAACTATGCTTCAGTCGATCATATCTCAGCTTAGCCGTGAGTTTGCTATGTCTGATCTTGGAGATCTCAACTATTTTTTGGGCATATCTGCTACTCGCGGTCCTCAGGGTCTCTTCCTCTCTCATAAAAAGTATGCTTCAGAGATACTTGAACGGGGCACACATGCTAAATTGCAATCCAGCTCGTACCCAGCTGAGACTACTCATAAGCTAGATGTCACCGGCCCTCCTGTCTCCGACCCATCATTATATCGCAGTCTTGCTGGCGCTCTTCATTACCTTACATTCACCCGTCCTGGCATTGCCTTTGCAGTTCAACATATATGTCTTTTCATGCATGATCCTCGAGAGCCTCATCTACATGCCCTCAAGCTCATTCTTCGTTATATCAGAGGGACACTTGATCACGGTCTCCAACTGTATGTTTCTCCCTCATCTGATCTGGTCGCCTACTCTGACGATGACTGGGGCGGGTGTCTGGTGTCCCGCAGATCCACTTCTGGTTACTTTGTTTTTCTAGGTGATAACCTCATTTCTTGGTCCTCCAAGCGCCAAGGCTTTATATCCCGTTCTAGTGCAGAGGTAGAATATCGTGGCGTGGCAAACGCGGTTGCAGAAACATGTTGGGTACGCAATCTTCTACGTGAGCTTCAATGTCCTCCAATGAAGGCCACCATTGTCTATTGCAACAATATTAGCTCGGTTTATATGTCTGCAAACCCGATCCAACACCAGCGTACCAAACACATCGAGATCGACATTCACTTCGTGCGTGATCAGGTTGCTCGCGGTCTCGTACGTGTAACTCATGTTCCATCCTCTGCTCAGTACGCTAATATCTTCACCAAAGGTCTCCCGTTTCAACTATTCAACGACTTCAAGACCAGTTTAAACGTTCGGAATCATCCTCCCGATCAAACCGCGGGGGGGGGGGGGGGGGTGTTAGTGTAGTATATTGTACATGTATTTAGTCTTGTAGCCCATATCTGTCTTAGCCCATGTACTTGCATAGTTCTTGGGTTGAGGCAATGAGAATCGTGACCCCTTTACAGTATGACTTGGAATTTGGTTATTCGAATGAATATCCCGACCCGTAATGGAGTGAAGAAAACCTGAATGACGATTTTGAAGGGATAAGTGTTTGGCCCTATATTTGCTAGGGTTTTTGGTTATAAATACTCGTAGTTTGGATTTCATTGTAATCACTTCAATGCTCGATCACTAACCAGATTTCTCTGGCACTGTCCGTGGATGTAGGTCACATTGATCAATTTATGTTAAATCTGTTAAATATTTATGTCGTTTTATCACTTTATTTTGCTTTCTTGCATAACAATGCATTTAAATAGTAATTTAACATGTGTAAACAACCAAAATGTCTTTATACTTTAAATTTGTTTGTTAGCATTTTTTTATTTAATCATATATAATTCCCGAGACTCCCTAATATATCTAGTAAATAATTAAAAAACAAGGAAAAGAAGCCATCGCTAACGTTTAATTTTGTTGTGTGTATATATACAAATGCTTGGGAAGCAGTGCTATGTAGGGACTTCGCTTCTGAGTTTGCCATTTATATTATGGAGAAGCAGTATTGTGTGTCACCAGCAGTTTTAGTTATATTACTGCTTGCGACAGTTGTACCTTCTTGTTCTTCTTCCACCGGCTCTAGACACTTTCATTTCAATGTACTCTCTCTCTCTCTCTCTCTCTCTCTCTCTCTCTCTCTCTCTCTCTCTCTCACATCGGGGGTGTTTCTTGAGTTATGATGGAGTTTAATGTTGTAGTAGCATTGTGCCACAGAAGTTTCTATTACAGAGTTCATAACTATGAAATTCGAACTTAGAACCTTTAGTTGAAACTTCCAACAGCTTAAACAATTATAGTGGAAAATCAGATAAAAGCTATGACTGAGTTTGCTTATTTGGTTTTAAACTTTTGCGCAGGTCCAGTGGAAGAACATAAGTCGTTTATGCAGTAGAAAAGAAATACTGACAGTGAATGGGGAGTATCCAGGACCAACAATTGCTGTAAATGAAGGAGAGAATGTGGAGATTAGAGTTACCAATGGAGTTTCTATAAACACCACCATTCACTGGTAAGTTGCGGCCTTTTCATTATTTCATTGAATTCAAATGTATTTATTTATTTATTTTGGATCCCTGCTCTAGATAGATATAACATATATATATATATATATATATATATATATATATATATATATATATATATATATATATATATA